GGTGAATCCTATTGGTTAGATTTTACTGCTGTTCTGTAGGTCTCTGCCTTTCCGTTTGGAATGTCACGCTTGCATTTTTATATACTATTTATTTAACAAATGCTTTTATCCAACGTGACACATTTTGAGAAAGTAGGTTCAGTCAGGCCCTGGAAAAACCAGGGTTATTGTGTAATCAGCCTGCCAAAGCTGGGATCTGAACCAGTGGCCTCTTGATCAGAGGTGAAGATTTCAGGTCCACAGAGTACAAATCCAGACCAAGATTTTGTTTCAACCAACCAGTTCAGTATAAAGAGTCACAGAATACTGAAGTGGTTGGTTGAAGCAAAATCTTGGCCTGGATTTGTACTCTGTGGACCTGAAATCTCCACCTCTGCTCTTGATCGTCGGCTCAGCACCTGCTGAGTTGCACACCGCCCCCCATTAGTATCAGTTCCTGTTGACATAGGTTAAGATTCACAAGCGTGGTCGATTCCGCTGAAAGAGCATTAATGGCCACCTTCAGCTTCTAACCAGGAATCATGATCAATGCACTGGGCCAAATAGTGCAGGCGATGGACCAACTCGGATGTTCAGAGGCAAAGTCAGAGGTTTTTCGATATTTCCTAGGACCGTCTTGGGATGCTGCCGTTTCTCTCGTGACGAGCTCTCCCAGACCGAGGCCAGGGGCAGGCTACAGTCAGAAACCGATAAGCACAAGGTCCCGCAGAAGGTCGGCAATAACTCCCCGATCTTCAGCGTGGGCTGCCGAACGTCTACCACAGGAGGACAACGAAGACGTAGCGGGCCAATCGGATGCCCCGAGCTGCAATCGAGCTCTGAAAGTCATGAGGTCATCTGTGGAGGAGAGGGAGTGACAAAATTTTTACGCTCTTCACGCTGTATTTACCGAAGTATTGGCAATCCAAAGTGAACAGTGGATAACGTGTGCAACGAAGTATGAACAGATAAAAGACAAGGCCAAGCCATGACAGAAGGAAAAGTGTAAGAAAGTAATATTTAAAGAGCTCTAAGATCTTAAACATCCATCTTATCCAACTTATAAAAGTCTTTCATATCCCGGTGCCAAGGTGCTGATGTAATAGCTTTGACCTTTAACTGGCGGCATCAGAAAACTTTGATCTGCCCTCCTTAAAAAACCTTTAATCTGCATCGTCTCAGAAGCCTTATCTCCAGTCACGATGATCTCAGCAGAGAAAGGGAAGCCCTTTGAAACAGATCACTTGGTTTCAAAGGAGGTTTTGCCCCCCAGCTGTTATTTAGCTGGTCGTAATTAAAAGGCACCGACGGCCTGGTGCTACGTGACCCGAGTGCGGCGGGGGTGCTCTCCTGCCCACGTCTGCAAATCTCTGCCTCCAGGCGAAGCTTCCGCGTTCTGAGAAGATTGTCTAAACCCTGAGGAGGTGGACTGCTGCCCCGCAACAAACAGTCCAGAGCAGAATGGGGGGGGGGGCAACGTCCCCCTCACATGCATTCATGCATGTATGGGGTCATAAATGCTAGGCAACAGGCACGTCCCACCAGCTCTGCTACCTCCCCCCCCCCCCCCCCAAAGGAAAAACCCCATGTGGATAGTCAATTAAATTTTTGCAAAAAAAGAAACCGCAATACACTGGTCACACAGCAGCCATGCTTGACTGGGAAATTTTAATTTTGAAAGCCAAGCATGGCTAACAAACGTCAAGCTGATTTTACGACAGATGTCCCTGTAATTGAAGCACCACCTAGCAGAGGTATTCCAGACCTACAGGCTGCAGCATCGGTGGGGAATCGAGGGTATAGCAGCATTCCAAGCCGTCCATGCAGCCTCGTGTCTAGCTGACGTCAGCTGACGTGTGTGGAGCGCTGGAGACCTCACAGGCGTTTTCTTACGGGTGTTTCAATAGAGGACGAGCGAAAACCGGGACGCAGGTGCGCGGCTGTGAGGTTTGCTTCCACCTTGTGGCCGCTCGTGGTACTGACGCTGTAAATTTACCAGTCTGGCGGTAGCCATAAACATAGCTTTAGTGTCCGAACAGTCCTGGCTGTGTTTCAGTGCAGAAGTCTGTCAATGAGCACATTTTCCAGGACCACAAAAACCCAGGACCATGGTGATCCCTAGTCTGTCCAGGGAAGCATTCATTTCATAGTTTAAATTTGCTTTTTTGCTAATTAATTAGATAAATGCAGAACAATCAACATCGAAATTGGCAGAAAATGTTTCAAGGCTGTTTGTTTGCCCCAAAACACCCTCAGAATTTCTCAGCACTTCATGAAGGCCCTTCTGCACAGGAGAGGGAGCCTGTGGCTCAGTGGGCTGAGCTGCTGGGCCTGTGAGCAGGAGGTTGCAGGTTTGAGTCTGGCAAAGCAGTCATGTCTTTGGGCCCCTGAACAAAGCCTGCCACACCTCCCCCCCCCAGGTCTGAGGGCAGTGCTGCCAAGCTTGCTCTAACCTGTCTGTGTCATTATTATAATTGATATTCTTATAATAATTGGGATTTTCTTCTTGCCCCCCCCCATCTTGCTCTCAGCGGGCGGGCGGGGCAGCTACTCTGGGAGCTGGGGATGAAGGACTTCACTAAGGGACCTGCATCCATGCTGAGGCTGGGCTTGAACCACTGACCCTCTGACCACAGGCACAGAGGTTTAGTCCACTTAGCTACCCCCCATTTATAGTTTATTATTAAGAATATAAAAAACACCAATTCTGGTCTAATTTTTTCACATCTACAGCTAACAAGCTAATATGAGCAATAATGACAAAAATACACAATTCTGCACAGGTTACGCCTCACTGACAACTTCGGGTTTCCAATCAGCTGCAGCTGAACAGGCTTCGATCCACAGCTATTAACTTTAAACCACCTCATCACAAACTGCACGCTGGCCTTGGAGAAACGGTATTTCGCGGCAGCCATGTTGGGTGTGGCACAGGAACGTTTGCGCAGATGCATCCTTACACGGTGAGACAGCAATGGAGAATCTTGAGCAAAACATTTTCAGATGGATAATAATCACGGACATGGGGATGGTTTCGATTTAGCCGAAGTTGAGGCAGAGTCAATGCGTCCTCATCTGACGTGAAACACAACCGTACATCAGAGTGAAATGTTTATTTCCACTTTATTGTGAGTATCTTGGTACAAAAAACAAATTCTGGCCAAACAATGCCATTAGCAATTCCCTTAAAGAAGGGCTGGGGGGGGGGGGGGGGGGGAGGGGAGTGTCAGAGGGGGCGGAGCCTGTGAGGTAATGTGGGAGGGCTCGCCGCCGGCTACGCTGCGCCCTCACCTTGGCCGCCTGTGGTGTGCAGGCGACGTGCACCGTACTGGGCTTCACCCCGTTGGCCTTGGGCCTCCTGAACAGGGCAAAGCGGCTCTTGCGCCTCCCACGGTCCCCGTTGGGCAGTGAGCCATTGTACCTGCGGGTGGCATGGGCACAGAGTCACGGCGAGAAGCCTTCAGTCATCATAGGAAATGATGCTACACGGGGGCGTGAGGAGAACATGCAAGCCCCCAAAAACTTGCTGAACAGAGCCGGATGCCAGATTCGAACCCGTGACCTCATGGCTCTGAGGTGACGGCGTTACCGGAGCATTGCATCATCCTATATCTAGTTATGTGAAAGTGGACTTAAAACCAAAAGTGTAAAGCTAAAGGGTTTAGCGTCAGCTAGCATCATTTAGAAGATCAGCCTAACATCACGACGACGTCATTGTTTACAGCCGAAGCTCCTTCTAAGCAGGCCTGCAGCTGCCCGATTCTAAGCAGGCCTGCAGCTGCCCCATTCCAAACCAGAAAGTGTGCATTTTTACCACTAGCAGTCAACAGCACAGGCACACACCCAATAATAACCCAACAACCCTGCAAGTAAACAACATCCCCATGGCCCATTCTGCCCAGACTAACCAATAAGCCCCCCTCACCCCCCCCCCCATTTCCACAGCACCCTGGTTTCACAGGTTTGGGG